TGCTTTCTCCACTCTGAACTTGTAAAATTTTGCAGTTGACCTTTCTCTTTCTTTCTTCCACTTCCTCCGCAAGCATGACAGGCCACAGTGACTCCGAGAGCGAAAACTTATATTCAGACGAGGCTAAATTCGAAGAGGAGAGCGAGATCGTACTTGGCCTCTCCAATGGAGGCGCCATGTTTCGTTGTCGTGGCGAGGGCACCTTTGTGTGTCCTTTTTGCCATGGCAAGAAAGTGCCATCATTTAGTCTTCGCGAGTTGCTGCAGCACGCCAATGGGAAGTCTTGTAGAGGCGAGGGGATCTCTAGTGCTTAGGCCACGTATATCCTGAGCAATGACACCATGGCCCATGACCGTGAGCTTGGTGGAGTTAGGGACTACGACGGCAATTAGGCGGTGAAGGCTCACAGGGACCAGCGCCACACAGCCAATAGGGCCGACAAGGAAGCGCGCTAGGAGAAGGTAATGAAGAAATAACTCTGTGTGATGATGTTTTTTGTGATCAACCTTCTTTCAATTTTTTAAGTTACTACGTAGGAGTAGTTCCTGTCACCAATTAAAACTAACTATATATATATATTTTAATTAACACAGTGGACCGAGCGCCGCATGGGAAAGGGCGCCTACTACAAGCCTGACAGAAGGCCCGACGGAGGGTCATCCGCATCCCGCTGAAGCTAGTCTTGTAGTAGGATTTTTATTTTATGTACTGAATTTTTAGCATAGAATATGTAAGTTTTATTTACATGAAATATGAAATATTCTTAACTAATGTATTTTTCAAGATCTTACTTATCTTTGCTGCGATGTTTATTTTGTGTGATGGGGAAGCGGTCTTCTATGACCGGTAGTTTGATGGTAGCCCCCGAGCACCATAGATTTCGCGACCGTATGTCACGTCCGTCGTTAGGTGATATTCGTAACATACAACCACCACTGCCGATAGCCTTCACCGCCGCTTCTAGACGGTCGGGATGGCACCGCTATCGTCAATTTCCATGCCCGCCCAAGTCTCCCGCGCGTATTTACGAAGTCTCGCTCAAATTTGCATTCCCACGCAAAGACCGACTATTCCCCATCACCACCACTCACCGCTGACAATCTAGTGCTCCGCGCTACGGCGCTGGTACGCCTCACCAACCCGCACAGATCCACCCGTGACCAAGGTGGTACCAACGTAATAAATAGCGGCGGTAGCGGTAGTAATTGCGGCCACAATAGCGGTAGCGGCCCAATGTGGTAGCGCTCTGAACTTTGTAGCCTGGAACTTTGTGGTCGCAAGTGCATGCAACAGGCTGCAATAGCATGGAAACAAATAACCCTAATCAGCCCAGCCCACTACGACTCACACCCCCAACTCAAACACACTCACACATCGGTTATAGCCTCTAGCTCTAGATTTAGGTGTTCTTTGAGTGTAATTAAATGTCTATTTATACTCATTATTCATGATATATGTACTTAAACTTATGTGGGATTATCAGATGCCACTATTGGAACTTATCGTCTGCAATATCTCCCGCTATCCGCAATCCGCTACCTCGACGTTGATCTGCTACCAACCCGCTATATGCTATTTATTACCTTGGGTGGTACTCACCGCCGTGCATGCTTGAGCTCATTGCAGCAAGATCCAAATACAAGGGTAATACTTTCACACTTCCTTTATCCATATTTCTTGTATTTTTATTCCCATCTTCACTCATGTAAGTAGGAAGCAAGCTTCTATCTGATTAGTGTGTGTCTGTCGCTGTAGCAGATCCTTGTCAAGATGGAGGAGGACCCCAACAAGATGAAGGGAGTGGGCATCCTCATAGACCATCTCTTGGTCCTCATCCTCCGCTGTCTCACCGCCCACTCCTTATGCAGCTGCAAGTGTGTCTGCCGCTCCTAGAACCACCTCATCTCGGACGCTGAGTACCGAAAGGAGCTGTCGTAGATTGTTGCCAGATTCTTCTATTGCCCCTGGAAAGGCAAACGCCACTTCACTAGCATCACCGGTGAACACCCCTCCTTGTCCTTCTTGCCCTTCGCCATTCAGGATGTTGTCATATCAGATTGCTACAACGGCCTCATCCTCTGCTGGTGTTTTGGGTGTCGCTATGTTGTCTGCAATTCGGTGACTAACAAATGGTTGCTACTGCCGGATGACCTCCTTTCTTGTGGCGAGGCTCGCTTGGGGTTCGATCCGACAGTCTCCTCACACTTCCATGTGTTTGAATATGGGAAGATGAGGGAGGGTGAGTCCGTAGGTGTGAGCATCTACTCATTTAAGAGTGCGGCTTGGATCGTTAAAGAATCTAAATGGGGCGACAATATTATAGTATCCATATATGCGAGAAGTGTGTTTCTTAATGGTTTTATGCACTGGCTCGAGTTCTCCCATATCGTTGCTATTGATATGGATAAAAAGACATGGACGAAAATACAGAAGCCACGTGGTGATGCAATCTCCATCCATAAAGACCACGGTCAATTGTGTTTATGTACTGCTGATATTTACACTATGACTCAGCTTTCAATCTGGATCATTGAAGAATATTGTAGTAATAGATGGACACTGAAGCATACGGTGACCACGCCGGAGATATTTGGACAGAACAATATTGAATTTGGTTACGTGGTTTGTGATGCGGAGTACAGAGTAATTGCAGTTCACCTTGAATTGAATTTGATTTTCTTTGTTGTCGAGGACAAAACACTGCTTGCATATGACATGAACCACAGAAAAGTTCATATCCTCCCTACACGGGTCATCCACTGTCCTAGACCTACCTGGAGTCTGTGTATCAACGGACCTCACTATCTTTCTTATGTTCCCTTGTTCATGGAGTCATTGGCGGAGCAGTAAAGGTGCATTTGCTGTATTTTGTTTGTTCAGGTAGGTAGTTGTTTTGATTCTATATATAGGCTAATTTGGACTTGGTAACTAAAGAAATGATGTGTTTAATATCATTAATTCTGCTGCTTTGTGCAGGTTGAGTCTGAGTTCTTTTGAACAATTTTCATGCATTGGCTAAGGGAGGAAGAAGAGGGGTTCCATGGTTTATGGATGCAATGATTATATCTGTATGCTTTGTGTTCAGTAAGCTATTAAGGGCCATTTATTGTTTTGTTATCACCACCGCCATTGGTGGTGCAAACGTCCAACACCATCACTATACGTTTTATGTGGCAGGGATCAAAAGTGTATCACCGCCGAATTGTTTAGTAACCTAACACCGACTAAACGATCATCAAAGGCGGATCGTGGTGCAAGACGACAGTGACCATGACTTTTGTACTGACGGTTCAAATGCTGAAGCGACGGTGATGTTTACCTCTACAGACATCTCGACTGTTGAAGCAACAGCGAAGCTGCACCGTAGATAGTCGGGTCGAAGTACAAGACGACGGTGTTGGTGACCACTACACAGGCGATTGATGTGCCCACACGACGGTGATGATAGCCTCCATATAGGCGGATCGTTTGCCAATGCGGCAGTATTAGTGTATACCCATAGACGGGTCGTGCTCCAATGCGACGGAAGTAAGGACCTTATCACGTATGGATCATAAGCTAATATGGCGGTGTAGTGTACACCGCAGTCGGTCTCAGATGCCGACGGCAAGGGCTATGACCAACACTGCTGATAGCTTACTGCTGAGGCCAAAATGCGGCTGCGATGGGGTTACAATGTGGCTGTGAAAGGTCTGAGTGTAGTAGTAACTGTACACTACCACCACACTGACTCCCCCACTGTGCGTCGCCACTCCTGCTCACCATCAGCATCGCTGCTGCCCTAGTTCCGTTTGTGCTGGGCCATGGAGGTGTTGCGGCAGCCCAGGCGCCGCGACATCAATAGGCGGCAGGTGCCGTGACATCAAGAGGTGGGGGCAGGGTCACAACAGTTCGGGCGCGGCCGCCCAAGTCCGCATTGGCGCTGGCAGAGTGAAGATGTGACCTAGGTCGCGACAAGCTAGGACATGACCCAGGCTCCCTAGTTCAGGACTACACTAGCACTGTCGCCTTCTCAGGACAGAGGAGTCGCCCCAGAGCAAGAACAACAGGCATAGTTCAGTCGACCATGCCAAAGGAGGAAGAAGATAGAGAGGACGGTAAAAGAGATATTTCATGCCCCCTCTCTCTGATGTTGGATAAATGAATATATTTTAAGGGCTACGGTGTTTAGTGGCCAAGAAACATGATTCTATAATGGTATTAGGAAAATTTAGCATATGGCGGTGTGTATCAACAAATACTTGTATTAACAGTGTCTATGAGCAAAAATTTTCTTTAGACCATCTCCAGAGTCTTTCTAAAATATTTTTAAAAAAAAGTCTTTCTAAAATGTACTATGTAAATCATCAATTGAAGAGTTGTTTGAATAAAAATCACTAACTATATTTTTGTATCCTCCAATGACTCTTCTTTATCTGGTGCCACTCTATAAAGTCATTCTCGCTCTCTAGATTTGCTAATGAGAAATTCGGAATAGAGAATATCTATTTTAAGTTTCATCAAAGATACTATTGGAGGGTATTTTTTCTCTCGAAAAATCTCTGTTCTTATAAATAGAAATGATATAAAGAGTTTCTTGGAGTTGCTTTTAAATGAGATCAATGTTCAAAGAAAAAAGAGATAAAAACACGTCCAAGACGCTCACGTTCACGCGTCAATCGCTCTGTTCGCTTTGTTGGTTTCCGCCAGACTTATTTAATCAGACAACAGTGTTTTTTTCTCACAACAAACTAGCACCAGCCAGCCCAAACCAGCCAAAAACCAGCGAATCGAACACGCCGAATGTCCATCTCCCTCCGCTCACGTTCACGCGTCAATGTCCATCTCCCTCCGCTCACGTTCACGCAAGACAATTCAGTCCTCTGCCCCACGCGCCAAACCAGCCGTGTCTTCTCCGGATCCCCTGGCACCCCTCTCTCTCTCTCTCTCTCTCTCTCTCTCTCTGCATCACCTCTCCTTGCTCTCACAAATCACAACACAGAGCATCCGGCAGCAGAGCAATGGAGGCTGCTCTGGTGAGCGTCTCCACGGGGGTGTTGAAGCCGCTCCTGTCCAAGCTCACCAAACTGCTGAGCGACAAGTACGTCAAGCTCAAGTGGGTGCGAAGGCAGATCAGCTTCTTGCGAGACGAGCTGAGTACGATGAGCGCCACACTCCAGATGCTCGCAGATGCAGAGGAGCTCAACCCCCAGATGAGAGACTGGAGGGACAAGGTACGTGAGCTGGCCTACGACATTGAGGACTGCATCGACACCTTCATGACCAAGGTCGACCATGAGCACCGTAGACCTATGGGATTCAACCTCCTTCGGAGGCTCAACAAACTGAAAGATCGCCATAAGATTGCTAGCGAAATCCAAGAACTGAAGGCTCGTGCAGCTGAGGTAAGCGATAGGCACAAGAGGTACAATTTTTTCCAGGGCACACACAGCTGTAGTACTTCTGGTATCGACCCCCGGTTACCGGCGCTCTACGAGGAGGTTGACAGACTTGTAGGCATCAATAGCCCCAAGAATCATATCATCGAGCGGTTATTTGCCCAGGAGGAGGATTCTTCTTCTACAAAGCTTAGAGTGATCTCGATTGTTGGTTGCGGCGGTCTTGGTAAGACTACTCTAGCAAACCAAGTCTATCACACTGTTAAAAGTAAGTTCAAGTGCGCAGCTCTTGTGTCGGTTTCTCGAAATCCAAATATGAAAAGGATTCTAAGAGACATTGCTCAAGGACTAGGTATCACTGATTACATATTGGATGATGATGAGCATCAAATCATTAGTAAACTCAGAGAGCACCTCCAGCAGAGAAGGTAAGCCTGTCTCCCTCCTCTATTGTAATGCATATATTGGTGGTGATGAAGTGAAAGTGTTGCTTCTTGATGCAAAGGAGAATGCACATCTACTGGTCCATTATATTGATCTGCAGGCATGTTGGTTACTTTGCTATAATAAACATTTTTCAGGGTTCTGTCAGCTATTTAGGTTTCTATCTGTTGTTTAGCTGAATATCTCTGTAAAAACAAACAAGGAATATCTCTGAATATCAGTTGTTTAGCTCAATATCTCTGAATATTTTCAACAGGACAAAACAAGTAACAAGTTGTGCATTATTCTTGTTTGGAGCCATGGGAGATAATGCAGATACCCTACATAGTTCTTATTTTCTTAATAGGTTGGAGCCTTAGGAGCTACCATCTCTCAGTTTTGTTTTGTTTTTTTAAATGTGGCAGATTATCTCTCACGTTTCGTAACCGAGGTGCTCATCTTTGGCAGTTTTTAACGGGACCTGTTAGAGATATAATAGTACAATTTTACATGGTTCCAAAGAATCTTTGACATATGAGCGTTCTTGTTGCAGTGAAAAACATCAACAATCTAACCAAATATGTGTAGTAATATATATAGATTGGTAAAAGTTCATATAGTTTGTTTACACACATGAGATTCCTATCATCTTTGCAACAATCTCTTAGTGTTTTGTTGCCTAGAAAATTTAACGATACAGACAGCAAAGGCTTTCAGTACTAATTCAGTCTTTGTTAAAATCATCTGGCAGGTACTTTGTTGTAATTGATGATATATGGGATGAAAAATCATGGGAAGTCATCAAGCTTGCATTATTGAATAATAATTGTGGCAGTAGGATAATCACTACATCACGAAAAGTTACAGTTGCTTTATGTTGTTCTTCTGGAGGTGGTTATGTTTATCAGATGCAGCCTCTCAGTTTTGATGACTCCAAAAGGTTGTGTTTTAGAAGAGCATTTGGTCATGAGAATTTCTACTGTCCTCATCTGGGAGATGTTCCAGATCAGATATTAAGAAAATGTGGTGGTCTACCATTGGCAGTTATTACTGTATCTAGTATGTTAACTGATCAGCACACAAGAGATAAATGGGATAGGGTTCTAAATGCTATTGGTTCCGCACTTGCTAAGAATCCAGGTGCTGAGAATATGACAACTATATTATCTATGAGTTACTTTGATCTTCCTCACTATCTTAAAACTTGTTTGTTATACTTAAGTGCATTCCCAGAAGATCATAGGATTGGCAAACAGCGTTTAATAAACAGATGGGCTGCTGAAGGATTCATATATGAAGAACAAGGCCAAAGTGCATATGACATCGGTGAGCATTATTTTAATGATCTCATCAACCGAAGCTTGATCCAACCTGTTGATGTAAAATATGGCAACGCACAGGCATGCCAAGTTCATGACATCATTCTTGACTTCATCACGTGCAAGGCTACTGAAGAGAATTTTATCAGTTCATCAGAAACTGTAAGGCATGGAAAATTTTCAGATTACCAGGTCCGCAGGCTTTCTGTGTTCGCAAGCTGGCCACCATTGGATATCGTTGGGGATTCTGCGCCATCGAACCTGATTCTTTCTAAAGTTCGATCACTTACTATATTTGGACATCCTGTGCAAACATCTTTGTTGGCGTTCACTGCTCTTCGTGTATTGGACCTAGAAAATTGTCGGTCGTTAGAAAATGAACACCTTTCAAATATTCAAAAACTGTTTCACCTGAAGTACTTGTGTATGAACTCACGTTCAATTACTTATCTCCCTAAAAAAATTGGAGAACTGCAATACTTAGAAACGTTGGACATACGAGGTACCATGATTCAAGAGTTGCCAACAACAATGGTGAAGCTTCAACGACTGACACATCTGTATATTGATTTGGGGTTATAATTCAGGAAGGAATGATTAGACAGATGAAGAGTTTGGAAGTACTAGAGGAATTCGGCATCCACTCTCTCCAAGTGGCGGAGTCTTTGCAAGAATTCAGTCAGCTAATCAAGCTGAGGACATTGGTAATTTCATGGAACTTGTATTGTTCATTGGACTTGGAAGGAAGCAGCAGCCTAATTGTGGACCCTCAAAGTTATGTGAGAACTTTGATTTGTACAAGCAATATTCATAATCTATATATCCATGACTACCATGATGAATTTCCTTGGTTTCGCGCATTTTCAATGGATTCATTGTCCCCTACTGCTCGCTGTAGCCTCCAGAAGCTCCACATCACATACTGCTCTACCAACAAGGTGCCAAAGTGGTTGAGCTCTCTTGGAAATCTCAAGGAACTTGAGTTGCATATCTACTGTACAAGACCGGAAGATCTTGAGATCCTTGGAGCAATACCTAGTCTGCTTTCTCTCGAACTAGTCACTTTGTATGGCACCAATGGAAGAATTACCTTCAGCAGCGCCAAAGGATTCAGAAATCTGAAATCTTTCTCCCTGTACATCATGAGTTGTGGGACCGCGCTGGAGATTGAAACAGGATCAATGCCAAAACTTGAGCACCTGAAATTAAGGTTCTGCGTGCATAAGATGGAATGCCTGAATGGTGCTTCTACTTTTGGCATCATGCACCTTTCCGCCCTCACAAAGGTGGAGGTAGTTATTAGAGGCGACGTCGATTGTTTTGATTTAGTGGAGGATATGGATGATTGCATTGTGAAATCTGTTGCAAGCACCATCAGAGATGTTGTTCAGACACATCCCAACTGTCCCACGATCAGTTTTGAAATAGAGGATGATGGTAACTATTGTCGACATTTTAAACACGTAAGTTCTATCGGAATTATATTGCAAGCATTGATCATTACTTCACCCGTTCACCCTCACTCTGCAGAGTTTCTACTGATTCATCCATCCACTGAAAATGAATTCATGGTGGTCCAACTAAATGACCCATAAAAAGCTAAAAACCTACGTAGCACTAGAAGATGCATGTCGAGACCCTCAAAATGACCATTGTATAAAAGAGTCAAAAATATTGAAAGTTGTTTGGTATTTGCGATTTCCTTATTTATGTGTTTCGTCTTCACTTGTCTTCTAGTGCCTCGAGCTTATCAATAAAAGGTTTCGAGTACCAAACGAGTGGCTCGGAAAATATCAAATTGAAGAAGCACACAGCAAGCAAGTAAGATCTGGGGAGGCTGAACGAGAGGATCACAATACGTCGCGTTTGAATGTGCTTGTATGTTCTTTCTCCACCAAACACATGCAGTTCCCCCGTCATATATAAGCTCTGTAATCCCCTTTCTTGTATATGAAACAGGATGAGATGAATGAAGACGAAGAGGAGCAGAGAGAGAGGTATTGGCAGGAACAATTAGAAGCATGGATGGATACGGATTCTATCTACGATTATTGAGCGGAAGTTCAAATGAGATACGTACCTGATTGTTCGCGAGGGTAGCCAAAGAAATGCCACTTGCCGACAATGCCGCCTATCAGTACTGTTCCTTTTTGTGCATTTTATTGAATTGAAGTTGATGTGCTTCCTGGTTGCTACTATACCATTTGGGTCTCCAGTCACAGATCTTCCAGCCAAGTTAGGTGTGCTGAGAATCGGGATACCGCTATAGCTGCTGTTTTATGGGGGGGAATGTCCGTAATCATATATGAAGACTCAACGCTGAACCCCATTAAAAAAACATCGTGCCTCAGTGTTGTTCTCTCTAACATTTTTTTTTTCTATTATGTCTACGCTTCGGTTAATAGATCCACTTAGATCTGGATCTAATCTTCCACTCTAACATATTAAACAGATGAGATATGATTTGAGGTGTTGGAATGCCAAACACAAAATGAACGGCAGGGCAGAGGAAACAGACATGATAGCAGTCGACGAACAAATGCAAACTTGTCGAAAAAAACAGAACAAATGCTCAGCTAGTCTCAAAAAAAAATTAACTTTGATACAGAAAAAAAATCAGAGAGTAACTTTTTCAAATTCATGCATCAATGAATCCAACGAAAAAGTTCCAAATGTTAATCAAATTACTACTTTTTATTAGATGTGATCCTGTAAAATGAGCACAATCTTCCGTAAATAAAACTTGAGCTCAAACGTCCTTCCTGTACGTATAGAATTTCACAAAAAAAGGAAAAAGCTTCTCTTCCGTATAGTATTTCCCTGCCCTGCGACATTAAATTGTGTTTTTCGGCACCCGAACATGGCAGTAACTTTTGGTCTGATTTCCCTAACGTGACAGTAACTTTGAACTTCGAAGCCAGTGCTTGGGGCTCCTATATGTGATGGCTAGGAACGTGTGCGGCCAGACAGTTTTATAACGGAATTGCCCTTGCAATCTTGCATTGTACTATAGCTCCTACTCGCATGGTATTTATAAAAAACAATAATGGCTCCCAGACAAAGAGAGAGAGAGAGAGAGAGAATATGCCGTGGTGGATGGAAGTTTCGATTCAGCTGGACAAGGATTATAGCACCAATCAAAAACAAACTCGGAGATAATCAGCACGAAGGAAGGCCCGAATGCGATCATGCGCGGCCCACAAGCCATGCCATGGCCTCAGGCCGCAGCCCAGGTGGACGGGAGTGTTGGCCCGTCGGGTCCCGGAAGGAACTCCATAATACGCTAGTCAGTCATTTTTGCTGCGTCGGGTCGGGAGTGATGGATTAGCAGTTTAGCGCGCTCCAGGTCTCCAGCAGTCTCTCTCGAAAAAAAAGATGGGTCCTGTTCGTTTCGTTGAAATTTAGTTTACGTTCATGTTTTTGTTGTTTTATTATTAGAGAAAAATAATATTTATTTACTAAAAATTGCTACTGAAATAGTGCTGCAGAATAGGATGATAATATGTACTAATACGAATACGGAGGATCAATGATAGCTAAGAGATTAATTAGACGCTACCAACCAACCTAGTGCTTAAGAGCTTCAGCCTGGCTGGATGGATGGAAGGCAGGCACTGTCTTGCATTGGGTAGACGACGTGACAACGATTAATAAGGTTGTCGAGAGTCCACTCCATCTGCCACGATTATAGTTGCATTGTCTAGAGTTACAGAGAAAACTTTATTAATCAAACTAAACTCTTCAATCACATAAGCAACTCTTTACGGGTCAATATTTTCACCCATTGAGCATGTTTTACCTCAAAAACCCCTAAAAAGTTCACTAACCAAACTTTATCAAATTTCACAAGTTACAACTCAAACAACGACACAATCTTTTAGCCCACTCAACTAACTTCTAAGTCAAAAACTGTCTAAATCCAATAAAATAAGAAAGCAGAGCTCTTTAAAAGATAAATCTTGTTTGTGCAATGTCACCTCATTAAAAACATTTCTAGGTAAAACTCATCATTATGAGAAACCCTAAAAAGAAAAAAAGTGTACAGCACAACTCTTAATTAAGTCTTCCATTATCGTTCAAAGGTCTCAAGTCACAGTCACATATGACAAATACAAAATAGAGATAACAGATTAATAGAACACTCTCTCCTCTCTTTCAACACTAATTACCAGCAACCCCGAACCCGAGGTACCAAAGAGCCCCAGATGAACCAAGTAGTACCAAAGAAATTTTGTCATCTTCATCAAAGGTACAGATTCTTGAAGGAGTCCTCCAGGGTTGTCAACCACATGCCACTTCTTTCTCCCAACTCCCAATCCTTTATACCCAAGTCTCCACGTTTTAGGCAATGGGCCCAATTATCCTTCCTATCAAGCTAAAACATGATTTCGAAGAGACAGTAGTAACAGGAACAGACATAATATCTCTAATCATTATAGATAAAATTGGATAGATTAGTTTGTGGTTAGACCACCAGAGAAGTAAATCAAAATCATCCTCATATGCAGTGACATTGTCACAGTCTAGATAAACTGAGAGCTCACTAGCAGTAGAACCAGATGAAGATAAAGTGAGGGCACAGGCAGGGGAAGGACCAACAACAGATCTAGGGCCTCCAAAGATTCTTCCCCATGCCTATTTTTTCTTGCCTATATGGCTTGTAGGCTGTGCAGCCCTTTGAGTCCTAGCTACACGAAACTTTCTCTCATATTTGTTAAATAACTTGTAAATTTTAGTTTTCACATCAGTATAATATGAAGTACAATCACAACCAGTGCTCTCTTTAACTAATTCCAAGACTAAATAAACCTCTCATCTTAGCTTAAGGATTAAGAATGAATGCAAATAAATATAACAGAGGTATATTATGCTAGTATTTAAGAAATTTAAGCTAGTCATAGGATATACAACGGCAATTAGATTTTGATCTTTTTCACGTGCATGTAAATGAGAAGCAATTTCTAGCATATGATGCAGAATAAGTGGACTAGTTGGATAGTAAATACCAGAAAGAACAATAGTGGAGTCATAAAATAGTTCTACAAACTCTAATATCTTTTTAGCTATATACCAATGCCTTGTAGATAATAATTCAAAGCCATAATTGGAATTAATGAACACAGAAAAAACATGCTTATATGGAACCAAGTGTTTAAGCATAAGATATGTAACACTCCATCTAACATCCATATCGAAGCCAAACTTTCTAGGTCTAACACCCTTAGCAGTACAATAGTTTTTAAACATAGCAATTCTTTGATGAGAGGAATTTAAGAAGTTAATAGCAGTTCTAAAATCTTCAGTGTAAGGTTTGAACCTCTTTAAACCAGATTTTACAATCAGATTAATGATATGACAAGCACAATGTTGATGCACAAGACTGTACTTATGCTTAGAAGGATCAATAGACTCAAGTGTAGGATCAGGACCCAAATAACCAGCAAACATAGGCGTCAAAGTTTCTATAGCCTTAACATTAGAAGAAGCATTGTCTAGAGTTATAGAGAAAACCTTATCAATCAGACCAAACTCCTCAACCACACAAGCAACTCTTTCAACAATAGTTTCACCTCAATCAACCTAAGTCCAATAACCTTTTTCTGTATGATTAAGTCCACTTTTGACCCCTCAACTATTGGGTTCGTCTAATTTTGACTCTCAACTATAAAACCGTCTAATGCTGGTACCCCAACTATCAAAATCGTTCACTTTGAGCACTTGGGCGTGGGTAAGGCTGTTTTGTCCAACGTGGAGTGGTTTTGACCATGCCACGCTTGCGTTGACCGTCACGTAGGACCCAACCTCCATCTCAGTGACATGTGGGGCCCACGCGTCATCCACTCAACCCCTCCCTCTCCATCCTCACGGCCACTTCCCCGCCGCCTCCTCTCTCCGGAGGTGGCGCGGCGGCCGGGAGCCGGCTCGGTGGCGCGGAGGAGGGCCCGGCCCGGGCGGCGGGGATCTTCGGCTCCTGGCGGCCGGTCCTAGGGCGGCCCTATATCCTCGGCGCGAGCGTCTCCTCGACGTGGGCTAGCCTCCCAGCACAGGCGCTCCCGACACGAGTGCGGGCTGGCTTCTTCCCCACCTCAACGCCGACCGGATCTGCAACGCCCTACTCCCTGAATCCATAGGCCCGCGCCCCTGTGACTCGGCGAGGGGAGGGCTTGACCAGCCAATAGCGGAAGAGGCCGCTCGTTCGAGCAGCGAAGGCACATAGTCCCAGGGCGGCCGTGGCTCGGCGGAGAGGTGGGCCATGGCCGCTGCTGCGGCGCCGATAGCCCAAAGAGCTATGGCTCATGGTGGTAAGATGCCACGCACCGGGAGGAGCCAAGGAGATGGTCGATGAGGAGCCGGCGAAAGAGGAACACGGGAGGGCGTGATCGGGCGAAGGGGCTCGGCCGGCAAGCATAGGCAGCCATGGCGGCGGTGACGCCATGGCCACGATATTGGAAGGCAATGAACAAGCGATGCGTCTTTGGCTTAACCGCGCTGTGGTGCTTTATGCGGCTCGAAGAGGCGCGAGCGGTAGGAACGCGATGGTGGCCGTGGTGGCTTCCAGAACCGAGCAACCATGGCGAGCTTGGCTGGGGCGTGTGAGGCGGTCGGCACGGCAAGCTTGGCTTGCCTCCTTCAGCTCGCGTGTAGGGCGGAGCGCCGCCAGAGGGGCTAGCATGGCATGGTCAATGCCAGCATGGCGTGATCAAAACCACTGCACGTTGGACAAAACAACCTTATTTGCGCCGAGGTGCTACAAGTGAACGGTTTTGACAGTTGGGGTATCAGCATTAGACGGTTTTGTAGTTGAGGGTCAAAATTAGACGAACCCAATAGTTGAGGGGCCAAAAGTGGACTTCATCCTTTTCTATAACTCCAAATCAGCACTCACAAAATGAGCAACAACACTAATATAATCTTCCTTAGCATTACCAGACTAAATGTCTAATCTCAGAGCAACAATGGAAGCAGCAGACAACCCAGAATTCTTAAGCATATTATGACGTTCAGTAAACAGTTTGCTCAGATCTCTAGTGGTGGTCTGTCTAGATACTTTAACA